GTGCCAGGATGAGGCGTTAAGGCTGACTCCCCTGTGGGGTCTGAGTTCTCACTGCGGACTAACCGACTGGATTTTAAACTTGAATGGCCAGCAAAATGCCAGACGGGGCTCACCACACATCCTCCAGACACAAGGTCAACAGGAGAGCTGCACAGAAAAGCAACGTGCTTTTTTTTTTTCAGAGTCCAGCTTGGCAGCCCCCTGCCTTCCAGCCTCGCAGAACAGATGTGACTGCTTCTTAACGCTAAGCCCCTTTGATAAACTGGCTGAATAATGTTCATTTTGCAACATCAGAGTTGAACGTTTTTCTTTTTTTTTTTTTTGGCTGTTGTTGTGTCTCAATGCGTCTATCCGCCACGCTTCCTCAACTTCACCGTTTGATCCCTGGACTCTTGACGAGTCCTGTCCCAGCTTGTTTGCTATGAAGCGGTGGGGTTTTGTTGAGGACAGAAAATGTTGAGAATTTACACCACACCCTGCTCGGGGCTTTAACAAGCTGCGCACATGAAGCACTTCAGTGGCAAAACTACTAATTTCCTTTTTTGCTGTAAGTAGTTGCGGTTGTAAGATGAAGGGAGCTGGGTCCTTTTAAACCTTGCATTCATAAACACAGCTCTCTGTCCACCATGTATGTGTGTGTGTGTGTTAGTATGTTTGCGTGTGTTTGATTGATTGACCAGTATTCTTTGCAAGCTAGCCAAGGCAATATCTTGGGAGCCACTCATGTTTACTCGGCCTCTGAATAGAGGTTGTTATCAGCCCTGGTCACGTTGCATGTTCTCATTCACATGCACTCGGATACAGTTTCACATAGACACATAGGCTCACATGAACACACAAACAAGGAGCCTCTTTCGAACCCTCACACACACACACACACACACACACACACACACACACACACACACACACGCCCACGCCCTCCCCCGAGTGGCCCAGTAGAAGGGCATGCCTTTGTCAGCAGATGTCAGGACGCAGGTGTGTGTTCCTGTGCCTCTCGCTCCACTCGTTTCATCCTCTTCTCCAGAGGCTGCCCATTTGTCTGTGGCCCTGTTTCATTTCAGCCCACTCCAGTCTCCCCCCAAGAGGACGCCAGTGTGTCTGTTGTATTACAGAGAAGGGAGTGAAAGTACAAACACACATATCGCCCCCTCCCTTTCCCCCAACTCAGTGCTACTGTAGTGCACCGGCACAACCTTAAAGATTAGATTAGTCAGGCTTGGGCCTAGAAGTCGCTGTGAGGTCGTCTTTAATGAGAAGATTCTGTTTTGGTCTCTTTTCCACCCTCGCTTTCATTGTCTTCTGAGAGAAGCTCATTATTTCTGTAACACGGCGAAAAAATTTTTAGGGGGGGGGCGGAAAAATTGTACAGGGGTGTGGAGGGGGAAAAAAAAGTAGCATTTGCCGCCATGTTTTATAAGTTCAAGGTTTTGCTAAGCAGGAGATAAAAGCTTTTTTTTATCCAGTGACAGGAACAAGAAGTGATAAGACTTTTAAAGCTGTAAAAGTTGCTGGGATGTGTCATTGGCACTTTTGCACACTCAGCATTTTTCAATAGCGTAACATGATTGGGAAGACGACTGGTAAAATTCACTACCTGTGCAGTTGCCCCGCACACACACACACACACACACACACACACACACACAGACAGAGTACCTCCTAGGTCTGCTCAGAGATAGTGCAGTGGATGTAATATTAGGCTGGGCTTTCCAATTTATCCCCCCACCCACCCACCCTCAACGCCTCATTGCGGACGTTAATGACTTCTGCAGAGTAACCGTTTAAAGAGCGCTAAGGGAGAATGATTGGTGGGACACGTGGAGTATTTATCAGCCTCTGCAATAGGTGAGTTTGAATCCTAAAGCTCAGGTGCCCACTTCAGTGTGCCAGCCTACACTGTTCAGTAGTTCTCCCCTTTAGACTTATTGCATATAAACCTTAAATATAGGAAGCTCATAAAAATGGCACCAAGGTATGAGTTGTTAAGACTCCGGTAATTGACGCAGTGCAATGAGCCCGTCAGCGCCGTGAATGAGCGACATCTATGTTAAGAAGTGCGGACGAGGGCCAGACAGACAAGAAGGCGTTCTCATAACAGCCGTTGACAGTGTCTGAAAGTAGCCGTAGGGCATTCATCCTTCTCCTCCCTCCCATCAGCCATCCCCCCATCTGCCGTCGCTCTACTTTTGCTCCTATTCAGGGCTGCAACCTGACAACAAAGAGAGAGATGTGTTTAGCAGGCAGGTCTTTGCTGGTTTATTCCTCCTGTCTACTGGAGCGGAGAAGTGAAAGACACTCTGTTTGTCTCTTCTGTTTGCCGTCTCCATCGCATTCTCTCTCTTCTTCTTCTTCTTCCCCTCTCTAGCTCTCTGCCTGCCCCCGCCACCCCTTCCCCAGATCTATCCTTCCTCCCTGCAGGGGTGAGAGAGGGAAGCTGGTGTTTTACAAAGCAGGTTTAGCCGTAACATCGGACAAGCTAAGTTTTGTCAACAAGAGCAAGAGCCGCTTAGATTTGCAGCAACATAAAGCGATCTGAGGTTTGAATTTGGGTCAGAGGGAGGCGGGCCTAATAGGGATGTACCACCAACTGATCCAGCTTCAACTTAATCGTTCTATACTAACTTCAGAAATTAGAAAGCCATTTTAGATATTTAGCCCGTTAAGTCGCTAATCCCAAAATCTCATATGTAGGCATGCCCATTGGCTAGCAGTGTCTCACTGGTCTGGAATTGTCTCCATTCCAGCGAGCGTTTGGGAGTGCAGTCAGCCCACCGCTATCCTTTGTGACACTTTTCACTTTTTCAGACATATCTACTTCCGCAGATCTCTCTTCCTGTCAAGTTTGTTGTATCAGAAAATGCAGAACAAAGGAGTTTGAAGGCGAGAGTTCTTTTTTTGGAGAAGTTTGGGTGAGTCATTGCCAAGTCTAACGATGACGAGCAACGACAGACAGACAGGCTGCAGGAAGCAAGTAGTGCTTCATGGACAGACTTTTGTCTGGCCCACAATTGATTGGGTCACCTCAGGGAAATGGGCTCCACAAACGCTGCGTGCAACTTATCATTGTCCTCCCTCTACCAGGTGGATGTTTCTTAAAACTGATGGGAACAAGAGATACGCCTAAGGTTTTACACCCCTAAAAGAAGACTGTGATAGACTGTAAAAAGTTTGTTTTGTGTAGATTTGGTGGGGTTGTGAGTCACTGTATAAACATCTTGATTTTCTTTTTTTGTCCTTAACATTATTCCAAGGTTGTTTCAGTCAAGGGCCCCTTGTGAGGCAGCCCTACCCTTTATGCAGAATTGAATTCAGTTTGTTGCACAGCATAGTTTGAGGATTGCTTGAGATGAAATGCCTCAACAATAGTAATTGTTGCACAAGTGAACCTGCAAATTGGTGCATGGTCACCAGCTCACTGAGCAATGGATTCTTTGTCACACGCACCCCCTCAGTCCAACAGTCTTTATGTGGCTGGGATCCAGCTGTTGTCTTTCAGATGCAGCAGCTGTGTGGCCCACGGGGGGGTTAAAATGTATGTCTTTAAATAATTTGTATTTCATTAAAATTTAAAGGGAGTTAGGGCAGCCATGCATATTTAACCTGCACCCTCTCGACAGAAATTGAAAGCTGGTAAAGTATTGAATTACCATGAGTGTAAAGCGATACGCAACAGTCATAGTAGTTCACACCTTACCTGCAGTGTCATGGTGTGCCATATCTCTAAAGCGATTGGGTTTCAGAAGGGAGGGCTACAGAGGCTGCTGCGAAACATGTGTGCTCCCGATTCTCTGTCTGTGTCTGCGTGGCGGCTGCCTGCCAAAAACAGCAGCCGAGGAGAGATTTGTTACATAGGAATTGTGGGCTGTCATTAGACTAGCATATGGCCAGGTGTTTATTATAAAAGATGGAGCCCTATGGCAGGGGGTTTATTGTAAAAGATGGGAGCTTATCACTTGCTGCGAAACTCATGTGTCTGCAAAAATGGGCATTTCATTCCATTATTTTCTTTTAATTTGTCCATTGTGACAGCCTGTGGCAATGAAATGGACCCGGAGAAAAGAAATGGATGTAGGGAAAGTGTGAGACACTTGAGCACATGGAGAGAGATGGAAGCAGTAATGAGACTTACAGAATCCAGTCCCGCAGCAGCCTGGAACGTTTGCCAATTGCAGCTGCTTCTCACCTCAACTCATTTAAGTTCCATGTTAATTTGTACGTGCATGTTTGCCTGTTCTGCCTCGACAGACGTCACCACTTGATTCTGAGCGATTGCTGATGATGGTCCTGTATTTGTTCGACCTCTCTAAGGAGAATGAATCGGAGTGAGATGAGGGTATTGTGCCTCAGCAGTGGCGTAACTTCCCGCTATCTGGATTACCTTGTTGTTATTATTCGGTTTTAACCTGTGATTCACTGCGGTTTCTTGTCAGAATGCCCAAACTGCATTAACCCGGTTAGAACAACAACACGCAGCAGTTTAAATCGCCCCGCATCACAACACATAAGGCTTTCCTGCTAACTGCTGCTACCACAAATCACGTCCCATCAGTTCTCTGGAACCACTGAGTATAGCAGCGTACATCAGCTCATAGCTGTAGGGCTTTAACACAAACTGGCTCTTTGCTTTTATTAATTTTAATCCGTTATACCCAGTGCTGGCTCTGTTTCACGTGATCCTTTGGCAGCATTTCAACTATTGTGCTTAGAATTGTGTATCAAAAATTACCTAAGGCTGCACACAGCATCTTTGTGTTTGGTGTCTGGGATTTTTTTTTTTTTCTTTTGCTGTATTGAGAAACAGATTTCTGTGCAAGTTAAACAAATATTGTCTGACATTGTGAAGGTTCTTGCAATTCATGTGTTAGCCTTTGCTTTTCAAAGCCAATGGGGTATTTCTGTTTTTCTTTCAGCCAACTCCACATTACACAGCCTGACTTCTTTTATCTGTGTTTCTAAATCAAGTCTGTTTTCCATTCTCATCTGCTTTCCCTTCCCAGAGCTTTCCGTCAGACGAAGGGTGGCCGTTCGCCAAGTACCTGGGAGCATGTGGGCGCGTGGTTGCCGTCAACTACGTGGGCGAGGAGCTGTGGAGCTTCTACAACGCACCGTGGGAAAAGCGGGTGGATTTAGCGCGCCAGCTGATGGACATCGCCGAGCAGCTCACCAACAATGACTTTGAGTTCGCCCTCTACCTGCTCGATGTCAGCTTTGATAACTTTGCGGTCGGCCCTCGTGATGGAAAGGTCATCGTTGTTGACGCGGAGAACGTTCTCGTGGCAGACAAAAGGCTGATCAAGCAGAGTAAGTGGCACTGTCCATCAATTCCTCAACGCATATGCGCTCGGTGTGTGTGGGTGTACGTCCACATGTCTGTGAGTACTGCTTAATACAGGCCCCCCCCCTCTCAGTTGCCATGACAATGCCTCATTGTTCACGAACATGTATGTGTATGACACCTTTGAACGTTAGCACCTCAAGAAGAAAATTGCTGCTCATTTCTACAGTACAGTAGCTACATTAATACTTAAGACTGCTTCAAGCACAAATCATGGGCCTGTCATTAGTGCTTCGCTCAAACTGTTAAAAGTCTAATCTAACCAAATAATTGTATTTATTAATTAACTACTTGTGCAGCGGTTGTTCGTACTTTTTATCAGCCGGGGTTTGTCAAACGCTGACCACTGTTTGGAATTTCTCGAAAACACAGCGCTTGATGTCAGAACTACAGCTGCCGACTGTAGCTGACGAGGCTGTGATGAAGGTTTGAGGAAAAGGCCTCAAGGGACAGACAGCTATGGGCAAATTTGCACATGCTCGAAGCCTCCTCTCTTCTAAGAATATACTCCTCCAGCACCCTTTCTGCCTCTAACGCGCACGTCCCCATCAAAGCAAAGATCGTTCGGATAACGAGCCATCTCCACTGCCCTAGTTTTTTTTTTTTTTTTTGCCTCTCAGAATAAACCTCATAACAAGGACAGAGAGAGCTATACATCACACACTCGGCGTAGCAGCTTCCTGCCCCTCGGTCTCCCTTCCAGGGCCCACTTCAGAGAAAGGGACGACCACCTAGTCAGGCTCTTGGATTTGTCCCTTCCTGCAGAAATCCTATTAAAGTGATAAACTGTTGTGTCGCTAGGTGTTGAGCTTCCACCGTTGTGCCTTATGACGGAAATGAACAATCGTCTGGATGTGGGCGTGAGAGGGAGCGTGTGTATGTACTTTTATAGTTGGAGGGGAAATATTGTGATGAATTTATCCCGAGATAAAGTGCCGCTTCGCCAGATTACAAGATCTGACACCAGAGAACCGCAAATAGATGTTCAACGCGCCAAGGTGCTCCAACATGCCCTGTAGTTTTCTTCCCCCCCCCTTGAATTCGTGCTTCATTTTCGGTGTGATTATGCTGGTGTGTGTGTGTATTTGGCATTCTCAAAAGTGTGTGTATTTACCTTATTGCTAAAAGCTGCAATTTTCCACCCTGTCACCGAAGCCCTTTGCAAGTCCCGAAGCACAATCCAGGTTGAGACTCCCTTTGTCTGCCCGACACATTTAGAGCTTGACAACTCAAGCTGCTTACCCTGGCCATTCAGAGTTTAAGCCTCAAGTTTATTTGCTTCTTGCGTGTTTGTGCGCCCGGATCTGTTTGTGTGTGCGCCAAGCGCCGGGACGCAGCAGGGAAAAAAAAGAGGGATGACGGCGGTAATGAGTATTACGAGGTCATGGCCATGTGTTGGACAGCAGTAGGAAATAAGCACGGTAACTTCCCAAGGTTTCGCAAACACAGAATCCAATCCCTGCAATTAGAGCCCGAGATTGAAAGCGAGCTAAAGTGTGTGATGCGAATCTCATCAGTCTTAACTGAGGCCAATTGATTTGCAAATCAAACACGCAGAAAGCCGCGCGCCGTTCCACCCTCTCGTTAGGAGCATCCATATTGATGCAATGGGTTTTCGGCGAGATAAAACGCATGCCATGTTCAGGTCGCGCCGTGTGCTGTGTTTGCACAGTCCAGTGGTGCGAAAGGAGCCATTCCCCATCATTGAGTTTATAGCATTTGAGGATGGTTTCACCCCCAGTGGTTTTTGGAAACACATGCTGTATAATGTAACACACACTTCACTCACTCTCATTCTCCTCGCTCGCCGACACGATCGCTGCTCGCCGGCTTACACAAACACACACATATGCAACAGCGTTTGAAACACACACACACACACATCCACGCGGTTGTTCTCTTTCACTCACTTTCAATAGTGGTCTCTAACACTGGCATGCATTGTTAAAACCGGCTCGTACTCTTGAATGCCACTAGTAAGGCCACGCTAACAAGCATTTCAGGCCCAATGTCCCTTCTCGGTGTAGCCTTGTGAAGGCAGAGGAGTGAGGAGAATGTATACAAGTCCGACCTGAGCTCCTTAACATGGAAGGTACCAGATACGCAGGAGATGAGTAAGGCTAGGCAAACCTACCTGGTCTGCTGCTCTCCACTCATTTGAATTGGAAATGATTTCGTTTGCTTTGGAAATGTTCTAGCTTTGTTACACTCAGGCCTACAGGAAGAGGAGAGCTTCAGGGATTGAGGTGCCAATAAATAGACCTCATGCTTCTTTTTAGCCTTTAGTTGAATCTCAAAAGTACTTTTCTTTTTCTGCTGCGCTCATCTTCGTCCTTGAGCGTGAACCCATTCCTACTTTCTTGTACTTTCTAGGTGTGCTATTTGACTGCTGTGTGTGTGTGTGTGTTCGTCAGTGTGAGCGAAAAAGAACGGGACACTCTCCTGATGCCATCTGTCAATCAGTGCTGAGGTGTGATGCATGGCCAGTGCAGAAACATTAATTGCTTTCACCTCACCTTGCTGCTTTTGGCGCGTACGTCTTTATATGTGTGGGTGCGCGCTTGTGGCATGCATATACAGGCAGATCCATCTTCATCACCCACACTGATTGAGGTTGATGTGCCCCTCCTCTTCGGGGGGCCACAGGGGCCCCTTGCTAACAGGGCAGCGCTGGATGTTTGATTGAGTTGTTCTGATGAGCCAGAGGAGAAGTGCATTACAACGCTGATACACTGATTATGTGTTTGCATCCTCTGGGTGCACCCCTCCCCACCACCACCACCATCCCTCCCAACAATGTTATTGATCTGCTTTTTAATGCACAAACCAATAGCGCTCTCATCATTCCAGGTTATTTTCTTGGCTCCCTGCTTTCCCAAGCACAATCCTCTAAAGAGAAAAAAAAGCAATGTGAAATGAGGTGGAGAAAGAATTTTATTTGCTCAATAAATCTGGAAAGTGGTTCATTTCTGTCAAATGAAACTGTCAATGAGTTGTTTGGCTTCGTGCTTTGAAAAAGTATTTCCTCTAAGTTCCCGTGGGATGTCAAAAGTGGCACCTTGGTTCTGTCACCTTCTGCTAAGGTTGAATTCTCCGGTAATAATTTGCACAAACTGTTAAAAAAAAATAGTTATTCTTCATGGTCGGATGCGATTGTCATCACTTAGGCTTTATATTTCCAGTGTATTGCTTTTTATATTTTAACAGTTGTCTTAAAGAGAAATGCTCTTAGAACATAAAGAGAGAAGCCATGAAAAGCTTCCAAGTTAGACTTCGGCAGGCTCCGCGGTTAAGGCACATGCAAAAACCGAAATTATGCTCGACTCCTGTCTGTCTGTCTGGACGTTTGTTGCATCACATATCCTCCTCCCCTGTCTGTATCGCCACTGTCACTAGAAATAAAGGCACAAAAGCCAAAAGATTACAAAATAAAATGTATGCAAATAATATAAAAATACATGTTGATCTATGAAATATCCAAATTTTATGACTTCATGACCTACATATCTTAGTGTCATGTTGAAAAATGAATATTGTGACCCTACAACTATTAATAGTATCGACTCTGTTTTTATGATTATTAGTATTTATAGCAGTGCATTCATTTAACTGTGTCTCTGTCCCCCTTGCAGACAAGCCAGAAAGCTACGACGTGTGGTATGAGAGCCGCTTCGAGGAGTGCGACAGGGAGGCCTGTCTGTCTTTCTCCAAGGACTCCCTTTGTTCCAGGGTCACTGTGGACCACAACTACTATGCCGTGTGCCAGAACCTGCTGTCACGGTACGCTACGTGGCGGGGCACCACCGGAGGCCTCCTCCACGACCCGCCCGCCCACATAGCCAAAGATGGACAACTCGAGGCTCTGTTGGACGAGTGCACCAAACCCAAAAAGCGCTACGGTCGCTTTCAAGCGGCCAAAGAACTGCGTGAATACCTCACACAGCTAGCTGCCGCTTCCTCCTCTGCCACGGCCAGGTAATGAATGGAGTCGGCGTTAGCCCCGACGCACTGACAGACTGGAATCTGTACTCTTTATCTCTGGACTCTTGAGATCCCTGGTTCTTGTACATGATGTCATTTGTTCCCCTTTTGTGCGCTGGAGCAGGAAGGTGTTAGGTCTTGCATCAGGAAATGTAAGAATCAAACTTCAAAGCAGATTTGTTAAAGCTCTAGCTTTTACCTGACTTTGCTCCCGTGTGAAAGAGGAGTGTGGCGCTACAAAATTCTGGTTAGAACCAGGATAGAGAGGGGATAGAGGTAACCTCTCCCCTCCCAGGGTGGGCTGCCATCTCTGGGGGGGAGACAAGAAAGGGCTCTGGTAAACGCATCCTTCACCGGACCCAGGCTAACGCAAACCAGAGCGTCCAAGTAACGGCAGCAGCAGCAGCAACGTCACACAGCCCTGACCACATCCATCCTCCTGTTCACACCTCAATCCATCAGATCTGTTGTGTTTTAAACATTGAATCTTAACAGCTGTTATTTTTGGCCCACATGATATCTTGTTTTTTGTGTTTTTGTTGGTGTTTTTATTTTTTGTTCAGGGCTGAACTTAAGTCGATTGGTGCGTTTACATTTTTTGCTGTGCCATGACTTTTTTTTTTTCCCCCTCTGTAGCGCTGCTGCTGCAGGGAAGGTGGAGGTAGCATGAATCTCCGACTGTCAGACAGCAGGGAAGGCCGAGCTCCGGCAGGTAGAGGGGAGAGGCAGGGGTTCGGGGGGGGGTTGGATTTAATTCAAGAGAAAAAGAAAACCCCTTGACAGCTATATAAGTATAATTTCCTGCTACTCCACTCAATCACTCGATTTCCAGGTTCCAGAATTGTGGCAATCATCTTTTTTTTGTGTGTTTCCTTTTTTTTTTTCTTTTCCTTTTATTAGGAACCAGAGAGAGTAAGACAGCTGCACATAGGAGAAAAGAAGGCGATAATTGGACATTGGTGGTCCCTTGATGCAGATGTGCCTATACCAAAGAGGCTATTTGTAATTTTAAAAACACCGAGCGGTACAGAGACGGCACCTCTCCCTCCAGTTGTTCCCCACTAGATCGGTCCAAAAACACCAATCTTATATATGAGCTTTCAGGCCTGCATACTGATTTTTATCCTTCTTCTAGGAACCAAATCCGGAGGTCTAAGACAAAAAACTGGCCATACCGAATGTCAGATTTGTTTTTCTTCAACAAGACAGAAAACTCTTGACCAAAAAGAAGATGTCACAAACATCATCGTGGTGGCCTCCAGTGTCAGATTCTCTTTTTAAATGTTTGTAATTGATGAATGAACCCCATTGTCAAACCTGTCCCACTTGCACTGAGTGCAACGAGCTCAGTCAAGTCAACGGTATTAAAGGGAATGAAGACATCCTAAAAATTAACTTTTCTTGCTTCAGAACCGGCGTCTGACCTGTACTTTTTAAATTTTGCAGACTAGAAATTTGTGTTGAATATTTAAACGCTCAGCACCACTTAGAGGTTGGGTTGATTTTACACTCAGTGGACCAACAAATTAAAGCATCATCACAAATATAGGCTCATTTGGTAATGGATTACGAGAGATCTTACTTAAACGAGAGAAGAAGAAGTAAAAAAAAAAAAAAAAAAAGAATTAAAATCCTGTCTCTGGCTCCATATGTTTTGTATGTCAACTGTTTTGATGTTGTAAATCAGATGCTAAATGCCCAGTGGAGTGTTGTGTAGCACAGCCAACAGACAGGCCAATAATCAACTTAATATGAGCTACTCCATCTGCGGGGGAAACTAGAAAGCACAGCGGTTGCTTTTTCTTTTTCTTTTTTTGGCCTTCTGCAGGACCCGGAGAGCTGATGTGACCATTGCCAGTAAGGAAAAGCAATAAAGACGAGTTTGGCTAATGGATTTCTGATTTTGAATCCTCCCACCCTTCCCTCCTTTTGTTGTGTTAAATATGTTTCTGTTTTCCCCAGTCTGGAGGACGGTCAACCTGGAGGGATCTGTTCATGCGTAACTGTCCACTTTTGTACTGTATTTTTCTTTTCGAGTATTATATCAGCATTGTCTGATTTTTCCTGTGCCTTTCATTCAAAAGTTGTATTTACAACTTTTAGTGGGTTTAAATATTAAAAATAAATGAAGATATATATATATATATATATATAGATATATATACACTTATGCTTTGTGTGGACTCTTCTTGATTCCGTCTTTAATCTTCTTTTTTATTATTTCCTTCGTAAGTTACTGGCGATGTGGCTCCGGTTCATATTGCCTTTAAAATTTGATTCTCTGTGGCTCAGCTGGATGTCAGTGTTTGCCAATTCCTTTTCCCTTTTTTCTCATTCCTCCTCCTTGGGTTTTTTGATCTTTCATATCTTCATCTTTCCTCTAATTTGGATCCCAGCCCGAGATCCCTTTGTTGTGCTCTCCACTCAACTAAGATGCAGGCCCTTCTCTTTTATCCATATTTGGGGAGATCGTTTTTTAAAAAAATACTCTACTGTGGCTGTGTGGATCTTTCACGAGGATGTTAGATTAAATTTAAAAAAGCCAACCAGTCATAGGAGGAGGGGTGGGGGGGGACGCTTACTTAGAGCATCGCAAGACAAACACTATTGTTTGCTGGCGTACATGCAAAAATAGTCAGCGCCGCTTGAAGTTTATTTTTTAACCCGACTCTTTCCTGCTCATTGTATTTGTGTGTGGAGTGTGGTCTTGGCTAATTCAATAGCTCTTCTGTGTCTCTCTCCGTCTGTCTCGAGCCAACTCATGCTCGTAGCATAAAAGCCTGTGGTGGAACAAAGTAGCGCTCAAGCCAGAACCAAAATTAGAAGCTACATGACTGACACTCTTTGCCGCTCTTCCTCCTGTTTTTTTTCCCCCATCCGTGGTCATTTCTCCACCTCTTCCCTTCTCCTCTGTAATTGTGCTTCTCTTTGACACACCCACTGGTTTGTGCGGAGGGGTTGATGTCACACTCATTGTGGTGAAGTGCTGTTTAGCCCTGTGTGCTGTAGCTACACTTAGCCCCAGCTGATGAATGGCTCCGGGGTTGGCTGGGCTATAAGAAAACACCACAGAAAATGAATGGGGGCACCGGGCGCTCTGCTGCCGCCCTCGGAGTTTAAATAAACATGAGGCCATTTCAAGGCGCAGTCGCCGGGGATTTTATACATTGGACATAGAGAGGAAGAAGGTGGGAAAGAGAAAAAAAAAACAAATATGTGGAGGAAGAGCATGTGGAAACTTTCAAACACAACCCCAGAAATTTGCTTGCTGCATTATCCAATTTGCTGCGAGTAAGTTTGCTTCCATAAATTGCCATCTGAAAGCCAAAATAGAAGGCGAGAGCGGCTTATTCTTTTTTTGCATTTTTGTGTTTTGCAGCCACTACCCAAAGGGGAGTGTATAATTATAATTCATCTGCCGGTGGTTTGAGAGGATAGGTAGCATTCCAAACAGGTAGGAAATAAATGGGGCTGTCTGTCATGTGACTTAACTTTGCCATATCAGCAGTGCTCTCTGCAAAATCCAAAGCATTTTTGAAATCCAACCCCCCCCAAATTCCAGCTTATCAGCATGGGAGGGGGGGGGAGTCTGAAAGGCAGAGGTGGAAAAGTATTGTACAGTGTTCAGCAGTCATATTATCTAAATCTCTACATGACTTTAGCCTCGCCTGTCATATTCCAAACCTGGCAAACTGCTGATATCTTATTCAGGTCATAAACTGAAAGGAGAAGGTGGGGAGAGTGAGAGAACCGCCATATGTTTGATTACAGGCAACAAAAGGGGATGAAAAATGAGCAACGACAAAAAAAAAAAGGAAAGTTTCTCGGTTGCTGTTGCTCGGCTAACGTGATGTAAAGTCTATTTCATGCTCTGGCAAGCTGCAGGGAGAGGCAGCCATTTTTAGAACCAGAATGACCCATATATTTTTTTAGAGGGGGGGGGGGCGGGTGTCGTTTGGTCAGTGTTAAGGTTGGGTTATGAATAACAACGTGTCGTGGGAGCGCTCAGCCTGCGTGCACGTGGCCTGTTGTTTTGGGGGGCTTTTCCGGGTTTGGCTGGGGCTCAGGAGAGCGCTCTGAAGAGTCTTTGTGAGCGCCTCCTGGAAAATCATCACTAATGCAACGCAGGAGTTGCTAGAAGCAATGTTCCTGTCAGGCTGCTAACATTCCTTCAACATGGTTATGTCACTCTCACATCTATTATGCCTCATTTAGATAGCGCTCTGGTTCCAGGGCTTTTTTCCCTTTTTTTTTTTCGCTGTCGCCTGCCTTCAGCCCAGCACAAAAAAAAAAAATCCATGGCAGAACTTATTCGTTGTTTGAAAATACAGCTCCAGCACGCTTGACAAGGACCGAAAGGAAGCATGATGGGAGTCAGGTTGTTTAGGAAGTTAATCTGGCTTTAGTTTGATCTCCTATTTCTGCACCGTTTGACATCAGAGGCAGAACGTGAAAACAATCTTGTCACTAAAGGCCGACGGTATTCGGAGGAGGCTGTACCTCCTGAACGTCCTCTCCTGTGGTGATCAAGTTTTTGTCCACATGGTTCGTCAGGAGGCACATCAGCCAAATAAGTCACGATTCAGAGACACGGATTCAGACTTCTGGGGTTTTATTCGTAACAAACGTAAAGAACCAACGCTGCCAAGCTTCTGGTTTCTGTGTCATTCTTTAAAATAATTTTCTGCAGCTTAAACTGTTGCAGCTGGTGACATTTAAGCCATTTTAGGGGTAAGAAAATCTAAATATGTCTTCTTGTCAAACATGGATGAGCTTTTAGGGGTTAAATCGGGGACAGCTCCCCTTGAAAGCGCAGCTCGGAATCATCTCTCGCTTAACTGAGTCAGCCAGTTATCATCAAAAGTTTCGGGCGGATTTTGATGACAGTGATATATATGTACGCTGTGTGCCTCACCGGCTCCGCTTTCACTTCACTTTCTGACCTTCTAAATTAAAGAAAAATGACTTTCACTTTGAGTTAATCACATTTGCCAAGTGCATTATATTTGGGTGAATGTTAATTAACAGTATGTCGGCCGCTGAAGAGGTTTTACAATCAGCGGTCTGATGTGCATGGTTTTTTTTTTAAACCCAGCAACCGACAAAGCTCCATAGAGAACGAATTAGGTACACAAATCAGTTGGGGGGGGAAAGAAAGAAAAAAAAAAGCGAAATTACTCAATTTGTCAAAGAGAACTGTCGAGAAAATCATTACAACACGGGCCCGAGCGAGACGGCGCCGCGTTCACAAAGAGGAACAACGGCCACATGTTGAAACTAGGCCAAAGAGACGTTTGCTAAAACCGCTAAGTTGCAGGCGTGCACATGACACGGTGTGGTAACTGTGTTTAAACTGCGATCATGCTGCTTTAAAGTCAAAATCCTTTGTTTCCACACGACTTTTTTTTTTATGCGCCTGGGGCAAGAACGCTCCGTGAACTGAAATCTTACAGAATCACAGCAAACATGACCCCTCCCTCCTGTGTCTTCAGGCCTAAGCTGTCCTCCCATGCTTTTATTCCTTCTTCCCCTATATATTTTTTTCTGTAAACTGGCCATTTTTCTCTCACACAACATTCCTTCAACCACACACACACACATAAAGCCGGGCTGTGACTCCCCGTCCCGGCTATTGGGGAAGAGGTCAGCGCCGCTATCAGGGCGGCTTATCCAGCAAGAGACCAGCGTGCTCCCAATCCCATTACCCACCCGTGCAGCCGTTTAGATGCACATTATCATCCGCCTTGGAGGGGCTTGCTTGGACAGATGAGGAACTCCTCGTCCCCCACCAACCCCCCCACATCTCCCTGGGCACATTAGCTGACACCCAGTACTATGATTATAAACATCATTTATTCAGCAGAGTCACTTATCTAGACTTGTATTCGTCCCCGCTAAAGACAAAATACTATCCAGTGTGCACACAGGCAGCCTAGATAGCACAGAGGGCCGGCCGCACTCCCTAGCCCAATGAATCAAATTCTGATGCGCACATCTGTTTGAAATCAACGCTTTATTTCAATGTATTTTTTCAGGGCGTCTGCAGTGAAGCTGAGATAAGATTTTTTTTTTTCTTTAAAAAAAAAAAATAAAAATCTTATCACTTGCCATATGGTGTGCTGTGACTCAGACAAGATGTAATAAGCATTTAGCAAGTTGGAGATGATACTGGGTGACATTTGCACTGATTGTGATAACTGTTCACACTTCCACTTCAGAGGCAGCGTGCAGAATGTTGGCAGGGAGGGACGCTGCCGCAGCCACAGCACCCTAGATAAGAAGAATCTCTATATTGCGTGGATGGAAAATCCTAAAAGCCACTATAGCATTAGGCCCATTTCTTGCCCTTCAACTGTCCTATCCCGGTCGGTGCAGCAAAATGAGATGCTTAGTTCCCCCCCCCATCCGCTCGTTGCCCTGCGGAGCAAGGAGAGGACGCCACATCTGACGTGACGCTGCACCCACACAGAGGTTCTTAACACTCTCTCTGGGATATATTTACTCCTTTGTGACCTCGCGTGGCATCTCCGCTATGTCTGTGAAAAGCAGTGCTAAAATCCTTGGTGCTTTTCACTTTTGCCCTACAGGCAGCTGCACGACCGCGGCCCGACTCACTCTGGGAAGCATCCATCACTTAGTGACACTTGAGTGGACAAAATGGAACATTTTCTCCGATGACTGTCCACCGCACTGAGTGACATTTGGCTAAAGCTGATAACAAGATGGAAAGTTCCGCCCTGGATTATGTCCCCCATCCCCCCGTCCCCCTTCCTTTTGCTGAATTTTCCAGGTGGAAAGGAATTAACATTACACAGGTGGTACAAAAAGCAGGCACCCTGGGCACTATCCACCAGCATCTCTCACCATGCATCCACTCTAACTGTCAAAAGGTTTTTGATTTGGAACACAGCACAGTGACTGGGGGGGCGACTGGAAAACATGCATCCTTTCTTGTTTTCCTTCCACCATACTTTTATGTCGGGGAACAATAGTTCTCTTCTGACAAGAGCAAAATTGATGAAAAGTTGATTACAGTTATTCAAAGGTTTCCATCTTTTTTTTTCCCAGCTCTGATTTGAAGCACTATAGGAGTAAATATTTCAGAGCAATGCTTGAATAAACACTAGACACTCGCATCCATCATTAGGGTCGATAGTGAGCTCTGAGGCG